GCCATATCCTGGGGGGACCAGAGGGAATTAAAATTATTATTAGTGGACTACTCATTGTGAGGGACTAAAGAAAGGACTGCACTGGACTATATATAAGGGATTGGGAGCGGGCAGCTCTCTTGGTAACTTTATTCATGTTTTCATGCTTCTATGAGGACTTGAATTTTGGAATATATATATATATATATATATATAGATATATTTTTAAGTAGAAAGGGATTGGGAGTAGGCGGCTATCTTGGTAACTAGGGATGTTCATATCCGGTTTAATCTGATTGATCCGAACTAAATTGATCCAATCCAATCAAAAATTGATCTAAACTGATATAAAATTGTATTGATTTGAATTTTAAAATTTTAAAATCGATATAATTGGTTTGGTTCGTGATTTTACCTTCAAACCGTCCGAACTGTTCGATTACAAAATAAAATTCGATTACAAGATAATTTAATTAAATAATATAACATGTTTTTTTGTAATATTTTAAATTTTTTTTTTCTTATTTTACAATATTATAACTCCATTAACTTAATTAAAAAAATAAAAATAAAATATTTTCATATTCCCTAAGTTATTTTTCTATTTTAATTATACACTCTAACCTTAATTTTAAATTTTCAATTCACCTGCAACTCTATCATCTCATAACTGATTTGAGCATTTACTATTAAAACCCTAAATTTCTAATTTATTCTTAGAATAATCTTATGATTCTCCTGACTAAATTTTAAATAAGTATCATTCAACAGCCTTAAAATTATATAATAAAATTAGTCTTAATATTTTAGTATTTTTGGATATTTGGTTTAAACTTTTTAAAGTTTGATTATGAATGCTTCTAATCAATTTTAATAATATTCATGTTAAATATTATTTACTTTTAACAGGATTTAGAAAATTAAATTAAATTATTAGTGCATTAAGAAAAAAATAATTTTAATTTTCAAGAATTATTTATGTTATATTAGAAATTTGAAGTTATTTTTTATTATTTTTGGTGTCTTTAGTGATATAACCAAAAAGAATTTTTAGAATTTTTTAATTTTTACAAATGTAAAGGAGTATAAGAATTTGTTATAATTTTTACCTATTATTATGTTTTTATTGATTTAGATGTTAACGTATTTTATAGTTATACTTTTTATTTGATGTTAAAATATTTTTACATTATCTTATATATTTAATAATGTTAAAAATCGATCAATCATACCAAATTATACCGATCTGATTTAAATTGAATTGGTTTAAAAATTTTATTAATTGATTAAATTAAATTAGTTTATAAATTAGTAAAATCCAAACCAAACCACACCGCGAACACCCCTATTGTCAACTTTATTCATGTTTTCATGCTTCTAGGAGGACTTCAATTTTGGGTAATAAGATACGTCGAACACAATACTTTTTTTTTTTGAAAGAGTAATTATTTTTTTTTTTTTTTGGTTGGGGTGGGGTCGGGTGGGATCAGGGGGGTTTCAAGCTATAAATTAAACAGTACACCCTTTTACTCTCAAACATTACACAGACATCTGAACACTAAAAAAATCCACATTTAATTATGAAATTATTGATCACTAAATTCTTATTTTTTGTTATAAATTAGAATTAGTAATAAAATTTAGATCATTAGTAAAATATTTATCACTAATATTCTTAGTAACGAATTTGACACCTATCACAAAAAAATATTTTATAATGATAAAAAAATTAATATAACTAACGAGTTATTCATAATAATTTTATTCGTCACGAAAAATATTTCTTGTCACAACACACATCTATAACAAAATATCTCATTACAATAGAATTATTTAGTCACAACATTTATAATTTCACAAAAGTTTTATGATTTAAAATCTAAAATCTATAAAAAAAGAATTTTATTAATAAAATTTTGATAAATTCTTAATGATATAAAAATATTACTAAATAAAAACAAACAAATGATAATCTTAATGTGGCCACTTACTGCTACATCGTAGATTTTCCATGCTTAACATGTCTGGACTAAATACTGTCAATGGTGGGGCCGGGTTTAAATAAGGTAATGGCTTGCACTTGTCGGAATGCCTTTGAACGGCATTCTATATTGGTATCTAAGTTTAGCTTTCCAGATTTGGTTGCTTGAACCATTAATGGAAATGCATGAAATTAAGCTACTGGTTATATGAATTCAGGGTTGGATGGAAGGGGAGTGATATATAGCAGTTTGGATTGTAATGCTTCAAGTGTAATATCGATCCCTTGTACTCCATTTAGTAGTTCATAAATCCTTTCTTTGCCGTTTTAAAAAATGGAAAAACTTATCTGTTCATTTTTTTCTTTTATGAATAATGACAATTCCATTAATAGTCTGTGAAAATGGCTCATGGAGCCCACAATTCAATGGCACGAAGCCCACTCTGCGGGACTAATTAAAACAAATATGGTTATATACTACGCCCTACGGGATCTATTTTCTAATTTTCAGGTAGATATGATAAAATTGCACTCAATTTAGAGATTGGACCTAATTTATTTGTTATGGGTAAGATCACAAATTTAAGATATTAATTTGAAATTTAATAACTTAGAAAAAAATTACCTGAACCTCATTGGGTTAGGTTAGGGCCAAGTCAAGTTAATTGATGTAGTTTAACTAAAATTTATTAATATTTT